CTATGAGCGGATCGCCTTCAAATCCAGAGCTGTTTGGCTCATAGAGGCTCGAATTTCATCCATCTCAGCTTGCTGCATTCGTGCTACTGTTCTATGTGTCCCAACAGCTTGATGTATTCCCCAGAGGAGGCATTCTTCTTCTTCAGTAAGTTCTTCAGCGAGTTGTTCATCTTCGTCGTAATATGCCTCTCTACGAGTGGTATGGGTTCGCTTCGCAGCTATCTGCCCGGGTTCGCTCGCTCGTCAGGGTTGTCCTCTTCGGCATCGTCCTGAAAATTGACCACTGATGCCGACCTGCCAGATGATACCGATCCGCCAGCTGATGCTGATCCGCCAACTGTTTCTACGCTCTTGTTTACGTATCGTCCGCTGCTCCCAGGAGCCGGTTCAGCATTCAGATCGAGCGAACAAGATCGGCGAACTCTCTGTGCCTCCGAGGGTGTTGAGAAGTTAAGCGTTGTCGGGGCGACGCGATCAACGACTCGTGGTGTGAATCATGTTCCTCTTTCGCGGTTCGCTGCAACAAGAAAATCCATTCGGTTTGTCATCGTACTGTTGAAGGTGTCTTGCTCCTTTGATTTCCTAAAGATCTTTTCAAACATGCCTTTTATCTGAGCCAGTGTCTTGAGATCTCCCTCCGCGGTGGGCTGCGTTTGCTTCTCTCGAGTCTGTCCCCTGTAGTGTTCTTTTCTCCGGATCCGTTTGTCGCAGTGTCCTTCGCTGCGGATCCGTCTGTGGCGAGTTCCTTTGGGTTGCTATTGTTGGTATCTCCGTCGATGGTCATCTCCTCTGATCTTAGCGCGGTGGTTCTTTATAGAGTAAGAAGCTTTGCCCCTCCTTCTAGCGCCAAATTGTGGATGCTAAATCTCACAATAAGAATAAGTAACTTTTTAGGGTTCGAAAACTTCTACGGAAAGTCCACTAAAACGTAAAGATCTCAAGAAAATTTTTTATTAGCTGTTAAGAAAGCTGTTTCAAGAATACAAGAGTTTTTGCTATTGATTTTCGGATCCCCTCTGTGTATATATACATGTGTATATATACTAGTCTAAGTCGGCTAGGGCTAAGCCCAAAACGATAAGGAAAACTTCAATTCCCTTAGAGATTTCCCTCTTTCCGCGGAAGGTTTCTTAGAGATTTTTCTTTATTCGCGGAGAGCTCTAAGTCGGCTATCCACTAAGTCGGCTAGCTTTTGGGCCTGCTCCATATCGATTCACTTTGATAAAGGACCAGCGGACGGTCGGTCAAACATCGGCTCACCGGTTTAATGTCAAACCATTGTCTTGATAAACAGCCCGCAGTTTAACTTAACACTTAGTCATTTTCAGGATTGTTGATTTTGGTGGGAGGAATTTGACCCGAACACCTATCGTATAACTTTAAAATAAGAAAAAATTTCAACATATGGTAAGAGACAGACACCGACGAACAAACAAAATTTATGTATTTGTAAGATGAATGAGTTTTCTATAATTTTTTAGGAATCGAAGAATCATGTCTACAATTCGTTTTTTTCTTAAAAAGAAAAGCAAGTCAATATTACACATATCGCATAACATTGTTTTAAAAGAAACAAAAATCATTATATTGTTAGAAATCTACATCGACGGAAAAAATTAATGTATTTGTAAGATGAATGAGTTTTCTGTAATTTTTTAAGAGTTGAAAAAGCATGTCTACAATTCATTTTTTTTTTAAAGAAAAGAAAAAGCATTGTTAAATTTTTTTATCATTTTTTTAACTAGAACTAGAAATTATAAATGAAGTTTTGTTACAACAGAAGCATGCAAGTCTGCTAAAAAACCATCATCGTAAACAATCACATAGTCAAAGACCAAACTAGCTTAACACCGCAGTGATAACCTACCTTCTATCTAAAAAAACTCACTAAGCCAAGAAGGAGGGCCAATGGCAATGTATAATTGAGTATGATACTGAGCAATAAC